CGCCTTGCCCCGCGGTGTAGTGTGTACGGCCGGCGAGGCTGCGCTCCGCGTGTGGGGGGCGCACTGCTAAGCCCGCCAGTCATACCACCGCCGCCGAGACAGAAGCGTCTGCCTCCCTCGGGTTCCCTTGCGTCCATCCCGTCCGTGTGTCCGTCAGTGTGTCGCGCGTCCGTCCGTCCGTCCGTCCTCCCCGTGTTTGTGTTTTCGTTTCGTGAAATATCCCCCCCCGTCCCTCCTAGCGCCCTCGCCGCCTGGTCGTTGCGATGCGGAGCAAGTCCGCGCCCGTGGACACGGACCGGGTCGTCCTGACGGAGGCCCGGCCCGCGCGCGCCAACAAGTACCTCGAGCTGGACGCGAGCGACGCGTCCGCCGACGAGGCCGACGACGCCCGCGACCTGGACTGGCCCACCTCCATGACGGGCGTGTGGATGGCGTCCGCGGCGTCGTCGCCGTCGCCCAACAACAACAATCACAAGTCGCCGTCGCCCAAGTCGCCGCCCTCGCCCGCGGCCCCGGCGTCGCCGCAGGGCGCCTCGCCGCCGACCTCGTCCTCGTGGAAGGACAAGATGGTCCGCAGGCGGCACGATAGCGGCTCCAGCAAGAACGGCAAGAAAGGTAAACGCAAACGCTGCCGCCCCGCGGCTGTCTGCCGCGACATACGGTGTCGTCGGGGACCATGCGGCGCGGGCTGAGCGATCGGATCGGTACTCCCCTTTGTGGTGGGCCCGGCGCGCGGACAATGGGCGCCGTGGGAACCGAGGGGAAGCGGGGCGCGTCGCGGGGCTGCATCGAATCTGCATGGCGGATGCGTCTCGTACTATACGTACCCACTTCGGACATACCGCGTGCCTGTCGCCCCTCGGTAGCGTACGGTTACACAGGCTAGCTAATTCGTCAAAAGACAAGAACTTTTACAAAATTTCACAAATTTTCTTGCAAAAAAGTAAAATAAATAATGATCGAATTTTTGTTGAGAGGGGAAACAAACCAACAATTTTTCACTATGACCTTTTGGTTTTATAAATTGACAGCGAAATATTTTATTTGTCACTGCTGTTTTCTGAGGAACTAAATCGAACTAAATCCAGGCTCTAACATTACAAAGTTGTCTTAATTGTTTTATCAGAAAATTTATTAGGAAAAGATTATTAGTCGTTATTGGTTGATTGGGTTGATTAATTTTTACGCAAAAGAAAGATGACTACTACATTGCTGCATATCGGGTAACGGCTGATTGTTCAAGCTGCTCTAAAACTGTATCATCTCTAGAACGGAAGGTTTTAGCCTGAAACAATTCTTGTGTGTCGGCTCATGAACAGCGTTCTTTGTTTGAGTAAATAATTAATTGGCAAAGCAGTTTCAGAACAAGACTATCTACTTATTATGGTGCACATTAGAACATCAAACGAAACACCCTTTGCGTAGAGTTACTAATTTCCTTGCCGTTGGGCAAATTAAATATTTCAATGATTCAGTTTTGTGGTGTGCAGCCAAGCGCATTAACGCGCGATTCATTTCTGAATTACGTCCAAGCCAGAGCCGTACTCCGACTCTTTTCGGCGGCACTGCACTTGACCCCAGCCTTATCACTGCGACGCTCGCCCTGGGCTTTCCTCCGCAGCGCTGCGGTCCGCGGAGCGTGGAGCCGGCCGTAGGGCTGCTGGGGCTGCCGCTGGCGAAGCGAAGCTGTCGTCGCGGCGGCGCGTGGCTGCGCCGTGCGCGTGGCATTATCAACAAGCCATTGTGGTTCAAACGGCCCAATAACGGCTCGCGCGGCCCGCAGTTGCAATGAGGCGCTTGCGCCAGGCCCGGCACCATGCGATTCTGCACCATGTGCTCACCATGTGCTCACCATGTGCTACCTGCACCATGTGCTACCTGCACCATGTGCTGCCTACACCATGTGCTACCTGCACCATGTACTGTACTGGCTGCAACATGTACTGCACTGGCTGCAACATGTGCTGCCTCCACCGTGTACTTCACCATGCGCTGCATTATGTATGTGCTATGCCTGCGCCTGCACCATGCGCTGCCCCATGAACTGCACCATGCTCTGCCCCGTGAGCTGCACCATATGTGATGCTGCACCATGCGATGCTGCTCCACTGTACAGCGCGGACCCGGGGCGGAGCCGGGTGGAGTCGTCGAGTGACATTGAAGGCAGATTCCACGGGATTTCCGCCGCGGTGCCAGGCCGGTGCAGATACGGCTCTGTTTGCTCGAATGGGTTATGGCGGTGGAGCTCGCCGCCCCGCCCCACTCAGGGCCGGCGGGCGCCGGTGGCGGCCTGCATCTCCATTCACGCGGCCGCGCTGGACGCCGAGCCAGCACGAGGCACGTGTGCGCGGCCGGCTGGAGGTGGCGTGCGGCGTGCGCCGTCCAGACTGACGTGAGAGAGAGAGAGAGAGAGAGAGAGAGAGAGAGAGAGAGAGAGAGAACTTGGACCTTTGGCACTCGACCAATCTCTCCCTCCCGCGGCTGCCCCGCGCGACTTGCCGCCGATTGTTCGCGACAAGCCGGGCGGGCACGCATGCGAGGCGTATGACGCGCACAGCCTTTCCTGCCATGTGATGTGAGTTGACGAATTCCCCGGCGTCCCCCCTTCCTCCGCTCCCCGCTCAGCCGCCGCACAGTGTTCGTTCGAACGCGGGATCATTCGAACCCCGCGTATTTTCCTCTCAGCCGGGCAATGGCTGAAGAGGACAAACTACTTGCGGCCGACGTGTTCGCCGAACTAGATATTGTGCAACAGGGCAGAGGGGGCGGGCCCGCCCCCGTCACCAAACACTTTTTCTCCTGCGTCAAGATTCCGACCAGACAGAAAACGTTGGACGAAATGATTGGGAAAATCGCGACCCTACTCCCGGAACCGTTTGAGTGGTTTGAGTCAGGTCAGTCAGACCTCTGCAAAATTGCCATTACTTTGGACCGACCGATCAACACTGGCCGCGCTCGCGGTCAGGGCCAGGTGAGGGATGTCCGTCGTCTTGCTTATTATATTAGAGTGGGAAACAGCTCAAGTAAGTCTTAATTTCTGGTCGAATATTTTTTTATTTTATTTAAATTGTACCTTGCTTGAAGGCGTCCTTTATGTGGGAGAAATGCTCCACTTAAACCGACGAGAAGTAAAACCTTTTTCAATGTGAACCTTTTCTTTTCAATCAGAGAGGTCCATGACAGGCTTGCGCCTAAGAAATAGAATTCAGCAAAATATTGTTCTCCGCAGTCTTACCACGCTGTTGCGTTTGTCGCTCGTGTGTGATAAGGCGTCGTACTGGCTGCACCAATGGAGGAAGTGACACACTCTGTGGTGGCGGGGTAAACAACACCTTTCAGACGGTAACACCAGTCTCGGGGTGTCATTGTAGCTCCTTGCCCTCCTCCTTCTCCTCCATTTGAGTGAATCCGCGGGGCCCGCGTGGCCACACTCTCTCTCTCTCTCTCTCTCTCTCTCTCTGTCTCTTTCTCCGCCAGGCCCTGTCACGCCCCACTAGGCGGGAGAGAAAGAGAGATGGGACCCCTGCGCGAGCGAGAAGACCCTCCTCGCTCGCACGCCCTAGGGAATCACGCTGCAGCGCGGCAGCGAGCTCCGTGCTCCACGACGCGACGTCCTCGCTTCGTCAGGGCCGGGGCCGCCTGGCCAGGTAGGCCGCGTGCCTCGCGCGGGCGCGCGCCAGACGAGGTGCTGCCTACCCTCCAGGCGCCGTCGTCGGCTGCTGTTGCCATTGCGGACGGGGCTGGGGCTGGGGGAGGAGGCTGCGAACATCCTGGCGGGGGCGTGGCGTGGACCTTGCGCTCTGCCTGCCGAGGAGGAGCTATTTCGGGTTTTGCGGGGGCGGGGCGGGGTGGTGGTGCTGGAAGTGTGCAGTGGGCCGAGCTGTGACGTACTTCGCCCGGGTCTCGGGTCTCGCTTTCTGTTTTCTGCGTATTGGTGCCGGGCAGTGCCGGGGCCCCCGTGCCGTACCGCCGGGGACTGCAGCCAGGCCGACGCCGCCCCTCTGCCGCCCACACCAGCTCCCGGCGGAGTGGCTGCTTCCGTTCTCGAGCCCCCCCGACCACACGCACGGGGAAAAATTTGCAAAGAGCGCGTCGCGTCGAGAACGTAAACAAATGATGCATTGTTGTAGGGCGGACTACGCCGACCTTATCGCCATGGGCAGAGTCAGGCGGTGCGGAGCGGAGGCGCGCGAGGTTCAAACGGTGGCGCTTCTCCCACCCCACCCCTGCTCGCGAGGGCCGTTACCCCCACTTGGGCGCGCGCAGCGCCCCCTCCCACCCCTCCCGCGCCCCGGGCCGCCGCCCGCGCCCCGTCCCTTGCAGGGCAGCGAGGGCTGCTCGGACGATGACTCCCCGAGTTGCGTCCCGGCCGCCCTCGCCGACGCCACGCTGCGCGACGCTCCGCGCTCCGCCCTGTTCCCGCCGCCCCCTTGCTGCCCGCCAGGCCCGCCAGGCCCGCCATGCCGGCCGCTCGGTGACAGTCCGCGGCGCCAACCTGAGGCGCCACGCGGGCCGAGGAGGGGCCGGCCGAGGGGCGAGCCCCAGGGCCTCCAGCAGCAGGGCCTCGACCAGGGCCTCCAGGGCGCCGCACCCGCTCGAGGACATGATCCACAACTACCCGCTCTTCTCGCCGTACTCTGGGCTGCCGCCCGCGCGTCACGGTGAGTCCCTGCCCGCGCGGGGCGGGCCCGGCAGGTGGCCGGGGGGTGATCCTGGGCGGATATCGTGTGGTTCTCGCCCGCCCAGCTGACACCCCTAGGCCGGCCTGGCTGGCCGCCCTGGTTGGCCGCCACGTCCCCAGACGGCTGTTGTTGTGGTCGGTGCACCGGCCGCGGCGTGGCGGCGCGCGGCGCGAGAGGAGAGCCTCGCGGTGGCGCGGCGCGCGGGGCGAGATTATTGATCCTGCCGCCGCCCCCCACC